ATAGTTAAACTACTAATTTTTTTATGTATTTAGTATAGGGTCTATAGGGTCTCACTACACAGATTGGACTTGGAGTGATCCTCCTGTTTTCAGCCTCTGAAGTGCTGGGATTTCAGGTGCACGCCACCACCCCTAGTCTCAATTGCTGTCTCTCAGTGGGCCCTGGGGTCAGGGCCGGCAGGGAACCTGGTCTCCTGCATTTGCCTAAGCAGGCACTTTAGTCCTCTGAACTATGAGGCCAGCCCTTATACTACTAATTTTTCTTAGTTCACTGAAAAATGTAAGTAAAGGGACTGTGACACCAAAGACTGCAGAGGGAGCTATCACACCATCTCCTACCACAATTATTGTGGGTTTCTGGTATTTATAACAAGGCCAATCTTTTTAACTTAGGGTAATATACTTTTTTATAAGGCTCCATATGATCAGTTATTTAGGTTGTTTCTAATTTTTATTACTGTAATTAGGATATAATGAGCACCCTATATGATTATAATCTTTTTGTATCCACCTCTCAATATTTCCTTGTGATAACCAGGTATGATGGCACATACCTACAATCCTAGTATCCAGGAGGCTGAGACAGGAGAACTGCTGCAAGTTCAAGACCAGCCTGGACTACATTATGAGACCCTGTCTCAAAAACAAACAAACAAACCAAAAACCACAGAAAAACTTCCTTGTGGTAAAACTATAGAAGTGCAATTTCTGTGTCAAAGGTGAAGTGAAAAGAAACCGATGTAGACCACTCTTTTATGGTATGGGGAATTGAACCCATGGCATTCATATTGAGCTGCACCTCAGTCCTTCTTTTTAGTATTTTGAGACCAAGTTTCACTAAATTGTCCAGGTTGACCTTGAACTTGCTATCTTCCTGTCACAGCCTTTCAGAGTGCTAGGATTACCACATCCTGCTTAGGTCTCTCTTGTAAGAACTGTTATGAGGTGTGGATGGAAAGTGTGTTAGCTTGTAAGCAGTGCAACACTAAGGAAGTGTTTTAAAAAGGGGGAGAAATTTATGAATTTTTGTAGCCTGAAAGCAACACTTAGTGAGTAGTTTATACCATACCTCCTTTTTACTCTAATAACTACCTCCAAACAAGCCCAGCTCAATTACATTTTTTATGTATGAGACAACCTGGTTAGAAGACAATTACTCAGTTACATGTGGAGATACACACTATATTGGAATAGAAAAGAATATACATATGAAAAGACTAAAATTTCAGTGGGTGCGGTGGCATAAACCTGTAATCTCAGTACTCTGGGAAGCTGAGGTAGGAAGATCATAAATGCAAGCCTAGCCTGGGCAGCTTAGTGAGACGGTGTCTTAAAATAAAAAAAAAAAATTAAAAAATGGGGCTGTGGATGTTGCTGAGTGTGAAGGCCCTGGGTTCAATGCATCGTATATACAAAAAAGGAGACACTACCACTGTATCTTTAACCTACCCTTCTGCTTGGACATCATGACTGTCATATCCTATATAAAGTACATAGAAGTCAAACATCAAAGAGCAGTGAAGCTTTACTTTTAAAGAATATCTGGGCTTTTCAGCAGCCACATGCTGTCCTTGGCTCAGTGGAGTTCAAGATGCTGGTATGCATAAGGTCTGGTGCTTGGAAGAATTAGTGAAGCTCCTCAAGTAGATAAGGTGCATTTGACTATGTATGCAGAGTAGATCTTGCCCACCCTCTTATTGTGGTAGCAGGGGTGAATTCTGAGACAAGCCCAATTACACATAGAAAGAAATACCTAAGAATTTTGTGCCTCTGCCTTGAAGCACAGTTGGTACTATAGAGACTAATTTTTGTAGAATTAAATTTGATTAAATTTTTTTTAATCAACTAGCCATAGTATGAAGCTATTTTGATTCAGGTACTTTACATAGGTGATTGATTCATTAGGGTCAGAAGAACTCTTTATTTTTAAGTGTGATTTAAAAAAAATTTTTTTTATTTTTTGGTGGAACCAGGGATTGAACTCAGGCCCTGTGCTTGCCAGGGAACCACTTATTCCATTAATCCATCTCCCCACCCCCTAAATGTGATTTTTTTAAATGTCTTTTTTTCCATAATTTTATTGAGAAACAAACAGCAGTGAGACAGTTTCAAATCCGATTAGGACAGTTTCAATAATTAATACATAGCATATTGTTGTCTTAGTGGTTATTCATTCTACAAGATGCAGACACGATATCCTGTTTACAAACACTATGAGAACAAACCTTTCTATTCACTGAATTAAGAGAATGTAGCTGTATATTTATCTTAACTATTTTGAATATACAGATACAAAATGGTCGTTAATTTGTAACCCCATTTTTTTTAGTTTTGTCATTTAAATATTATAGGTGTCTGAGTTCAGCAAAATATTCCAAAATAGTCCAGTAGTCCATAATAGTAGTGGGTTTTCCATAAGACTGGCAATGTCAGAAGTTGTTGACTTCGGTCCTTTACAGCTCAGCATATTAATATGGCCTTACTTTTCATACCTTGTTATTATGCTTTTCTGCTGGATGGTTAAGACCAAGATAAAGCAAGACCTATATAACAAGAAATGTAGCTTTTGTATCTGACAAGGTCAGTCAAATTCCCTTAGGATTTACTCTGAAACCCTGTACC